TTTTTCTGTTCCTAGTCCACGTCTGGCAATTCTTTGTGACCATAATTTCTCTTAAGTCTTTGAAGATATTTGTGCTAGCTGCTTCACAGTCCTTAGCTGCTAATTATGACACCTGGGTCATTTCAGATTGTGCTTTGTCAGATTGTTTTTCAAATTGTGCTTGACCCCTTTTTCTCTTGACTATGGATCACATTTTCCTTTTTCTTCTAATTTCTAGTGATTTTTTAAATTATATACAAGGCATCGCAGATAATTTGCTGTAGGTATTTTGGAGTCTGTGACCTTTGTCTGAAGACTGTTGATTTAGTTGTGGCTGGGGGCGGGGCATCAACTGCAATTGCTCAGGTTTTCAGCCTTTCATCGGTTGCTCTCTGCTGGGCTATTTGGAGTCTCCTCCACGTGTGCATAATTCTGTGACCAGCCCAGGATTTTAAGGGAGTTTCTATGGTGATTTGGGGGCTTTCTCCTCTGTGATTCCCTCCTTCCAGGGCTTCCTCTGTTCAATTTCCAGATATTTTGGCATCCCTGAATTCATTCTCTGCCTTCTCAAGTCAGAAAGACAGTGGCTTTCTTTCCGAATTTGAGAAGAAAAGCTGTAAAAGCAAATCTCACCCAATGCAGTTGCCATTTTTCAAGGGTTGAGTCACCTCCATCTTGGACCGTTTTCTGTTGTTCTCAAGTACCTTCGGATAATTGTTTTTTGTACTGGTTCAGAGTTTACAATTGTCGTCTGTGGGAGGGTTAGTCTAACACAGGTATTCGGCCATTTCTAGAACCAAGCTGTACTATTATATCGCTCTTATCCTGTCAAGTATCTCTTTAAAAAACTTCAGTCGCTCTTCCTTGTCTATAGAATAAAAGTAGTTTCCTTAGACTGGATGCACTCTATTTTATTTTTATTTCCCCCACAACAGGTCTTGTATTCCAGCCAGGCTGAACTGTTCTCCAAACAATGTGTTTTATTATGCTCTTTCACTCATGTAATTCTTTAGACTAGCATTTCTCCTACATTTGCATGTCCAGATCCTGACTATCCTTCAAGATGTAACTCAAATGTCAACTCCTCCATGAAAACTATCCTTGTCTCCCCAGTTTGAAGTAACCTTAATTTTCTCGTAAGCTACCTCTTTGCATTTCATTATTTCACTCATTTAATAAGCCACTCGGGTGTCAGAAGCCATAATGAGCACGAGGAATACGATGGATAAGAAATAGCCCTCATTCATGAGAAATCTCTGCTCCTATAGTGGTAGAGAAAGCCAAGTCAAAAGAAAGGTGATAAGTGCCACATGCAGAAGTTGTTGTGGGAAGCTCTGAAGAGGAAAGGCCAACTCAGTCTAGGGTTTTAGGGACAGCTTCTTGAGTCAAGTACTTCTTTACCTGAGTCTTGAACAATGAAATATCTGGATAAAATGCATAGACCAGGAGAGGAAGAACATGCTTGAAAGAGAAAACTACAAATCTGAAGGCAGAGAAGTATGAATGAATATTGTATGTTTAGGGAAATGCAAATTGTTTATATAACTTGCAAGAAGTACATTATGTATGAGTGGAAAAAATGTGGGAGTCGTCCTTTTTTTCTTCACTCTTTTTTTTCATCGTCTATCTCTAATCCTTCTGAAAGTACATTATCTTCTCTTTAATTCCCATGTCGCCATCTTAGTCCAAACCACCATCAACTCTTTTTGTACTTCTGAAACACCCTTGTAACTGGTCTGCCTGCTTCTATTCTGGTGCACTTAAACTTCAGTCTTCACACAGCAGCTGAGTGATCTTTGGAACATGTAAACAAGGTAACATTACTCTCTTGTATGCAATCATTCAGTAGCTTCCCATTGTACTAAAGTAGAGCCTAAACTTCTTGCAATGATTTCCTTGCCATACCACAACGTATAGGCATTGCCTATGCTCTGACCTCATTTTTTACACTTTTCTTTGCCTTAACATGCTTCAGAAGTACTTGGCCTTTTCCCCAGTTCTCCAGTACTCCAGGAGCCTATCTACCTCAGGGCCTTTACATATGCTATTCTCCCTGCCTAGAATGGTCTTTTCCTAATCTTTATAGTTGGCTCCTTTTTAAGTTCTTAGCAAAAATATCATCTCCTCAGAGGGACCTTCACCTCCTCAGTCACATCTCTAAATTCTTCAGAACACTGGTGATTGTCTGAAGTTACCTATATATATTTACTTGTTTAGTGTCTCTCTGCCACCAGAACCATATTCTGTTTATAAGCAGGGATGTGCTGTCTATTCTTCATCCGGCTAAGTGTTCTGGGAGGATGACTTCTAAGAGCTTCAGTAGCTGGGCTCCCCTGCCCTCTGCTTTCCACTTGAGTTCATTTAAGAGATCAGAGGTTGGGAAGAAAGGTTTGGTGGTAGTCGTGTTTTTCTGCTGAAGGCCATAGCTCCCTTCAGGCAGTCCTCTCCTACAGCTCTTGGATCCATGACTATTTCCTCTCCCTAATGATTTAGGCCTAACAGCTGATAAAATTCAGCTACTTGGCTTCTCTTCCTTCTCTTCCTAGCTGTTGCTAGTCTCAGGGTACTTCAGTCCCCCATAACGCTCTCCACATCCTTTACAAATAGACTCTTATTAAACTCTCTTTAATTATCTGTTTCAAGTCTGCCATCTCTTTCTTTCCAGGACCTTGAATTTTGTTCTCTAAAGTATTGCTAGCACCTAGCACAGAGCCTAGGATGGGTAATGTTCAATAGTTATTTGTTGAATGAATGGAGGAATGATTGAGCTCTTTAGCTCAGAACCCATTAGGCTGCAAGTTCCCTTAATATTTTAATACCAGAATTCCATTTTTAAAACTAAACGTCTTGAGAGCATAGTCTGTGTATTCCATTTTTCAATCTAAGTCTTTCTTTAAAGAAAAGATTGTGGGGCCAGCCCAGTGGTGCAGTGGTTAAGTTCTCCTGTTCCAGTTCTGTGGCCTGAGGTTCGCTGGTTCGGATCCCGGGTGTGGACCTATGCACGGCTTGTCAAGCCATGCTGTGGCAGGCATTCCACACATAAAGCAGAGGAATATGGGCATGGATGTTAGCTCAGAGCCAGTGTTCCTCAGCAAAAAAGAGGAGGATTGGCAGCAGATTTTAGCTAAGGGCTAATCTTCCTCAAAAAAAAAAAAAAAAAAAAAACGAAAGAAAGGATTGTGTATTCAGTTTTTGGAAATACAATGTATTATTTTCAATATTTGCTGTTTCCTAGAATCTAAATCACAGATACATACAAAAACAACATCAACTTTTAAGGTGAAGTAAGTGCAGGTCAGACCCGAAGAGTGATGGCACTAGAGCCAGTTTTTCCTTTGGGATTTGTGCTCTCTTGATGATATTAGATTGTTTCATCAATTACTAAGTGAATCCTCAAGTAAGACTTACACAGATCACCTTACCCTATTAATCATCCTTTGTTTTCAGTTGCACAAATTTGCCATGCCATTCTGGTAATCAAAGCTTGTTTCTCATCTCAGAAAAGATTTGAGAAGCAGCTGCCACTGAGCTCAGTCTCTCACCAAACATCCTCCCACAGGGGCCCAGTCAAATTCTGGATAGTGCTGAGCATTGTGTCCCTGAGGTGGTCTGACCTCCTAGTGGGAGAGATCTGTGGCAATTTATCTACAACTCCTGCCCCTCGTGATCACCTGCCAGGTGGCTCTCTGCTCCTGGCTTCTGAAGTGTCAGTCCTCCCCTGAGGTCCAGCTCTCTCAATCAACCTATAAGTTTGCACAGGATAGGTAGATGCAAGAATCATCTATACAGGACCTCTTTCATTCTAATTAATTGGCTGTGTGTCTCATTATGACCTGTTTGTGGGCAAGGACTGTGTGTTAAATGCTTTGAATTCTTAGGACCTAACAGAGTGCTTCGATACTTAGTAATCAAGCGTTTCATTCTCTTGAATAAAGAAGAAAATTCTTCGAATCATGATTATACTAATATTGTCAAAGTTATAACAATAAACTAGCTCATTCTAGGCATATTCTGGGTTGTCAAACTGAAGAAGGAATTTAAAAACTTGAAATAAATTCAATAAAATGACACATTATAGTTCAATGTATGTATGCGTACTGAGGAGGGATGAAAACAAAGAAAATTGAAAATAGGTTGTTTTAGTGTAGTAAAGTTACTGGATAATTTTCATTTCCTTTGCTCTTTAAAAACATACTATTTTAAAAGGATATGTGAAATGAATACAGGATTGGAGGAAGAAAATTTAGAAGAAAATGATAAGTGAGTAACAACAATGATTAAAGAGCTGTGATAGAGTTAGAAATCAAGCGGTTTCTGGCTTGCAGAATTTGAAAGAGCCTCATGTGAGGAGGGTGATCTGAGGAGGATGATGGCCATCTCCGTTAGGGACCAGACAGGAGGGAACGGGCTTAAGTTACAGCAGGGGGGATTTAGATAAGAGAAAAGGAAAAATTTTCAGACAGTGAGATTTGATAGACACTGGAATGCGTAACTGGGGAAGCTTGTGGAATTTCCTTCTCTAGAGATCTTTCAAAAATAGAACAGCATCTCATCTGCCTGAAGGATGGACTCTGTTTGACCTTTCAAAGTGTCCATTGAACCCTGAAGGTACACCACACTTTAGAGAAGAAAGCAAGCTTGCATGGTCCTGGCTAGATTGAGTCCTAAAAATAGGGTGACCCAATTTCATATTTAATTGGATTTGTGTATGTCACATTTGTAAGTTATGACTGCTATAGCTCTTCTTTCTTTTCTTTTTGGTTGAATGTTTTCATTTTTAAGGCCTGGAGATTAGAGTTTAAGTAAAAACACTATAGGGAGAGAAGAAGGAACTCTTATCTCACTTCAGAACATATTTTTATAGGGACATAGACAAGGAGAAAAGGATATTTTGGACATCTATGATTTTGACTTCGCTTCCTAGTCTAAATTTTAAAAAATCCCAACGCAGCCCTTTGGGTTGGCTTTACTATTTTTAGGTAAAATTTAAAAAATTAATTTAGTCTCAATGTTTCTTACAGTGTTTTTGGCAGAATTGGTCTCCCAAACTGGAAGAGCTTCTCTGTATTTAATTTCCTCTCAGGAAGTTTACCTTCAGAAGTCCAAGTGTGAGGTCAAGCTTTGGGTTGCCGGAAATGGTAATGTCCTTTACTGTCTGAGCACCCAGACGACTCTTAATGAAACATCCTACTCTATGGACATTGGTAAGGATTAAAGTGCTTTAAGTATTTCCTCTTATTTTGTGATTTGTGATTTCTATATTCAGTCTTCTAAAACTCAGAAAAAAATTATATGTAAGTAAGAGCTATGGTCTCCATATTCAGCTATAACTGCAGATTTTCAGTTATAGGTGATACCCATCTTTTTCTTTCCTAAAAACCAAAGTGTACTGCAGGTTGAAAGGGATATAAGCTTTGGAATTTATTATCTACCTTACACAAAAACAATTCCAGGGTGTTCTAAACTTAATTTCTTACTGTTATAGTTGACCTGAGGACATTTTTATGAATCACAGAATCTCATATTCATATAGCTCTTCATATTTGTCAAAATGTTTACTCATCTAATATCTAACTTGATCTTAATAAGAACCTCATGAATGTCATGATCTTATAGATGAGAAAATGGAATGTCAGTAAGGAGGTGTATCTCACCCAAGATCACAAAACTAGAAAAAGCAGAGTTGCAACACTTCTGATTTCAAAGCCTGTTTTTCCACTGCATCACGCTATGCTGGCTGCGAAAAATCTGTGATTTCCTAGTGTTTTATTTTTTAACCATTGAAGAGATCTTTGTCTCTGAATCATTCTGACCCAAAATCATGTTAGAGACCATGACACTAACGTTATTGTCACCAAACACAAAACTGTGCTAGTATTCTCACAGAGTAAAACACCAGAGCTTTTTAAAAATTCTGCCATTCCACATAATGAGTCATGTAAATTTCCGATAGGACCCTTCACATGAAGATTATAACCTAATCTAATTCACACTAGCTGTTGATTATTAAGCAGCATTTCGTTTTTAGTACGAAACCTACTTTAATTGTTTCCTCAGTCTCTGACAGAATGTTGAACACAGCTCCCACAATCCTTGGCTCTCTGTCCTGGGTGTCTTTAGGGTACAGTGGCTCTATTTCCTTCCCTAATAGTTCGGAAGTTTGTTTAATACTGACTCAGAGGAAGCATTCTAGCTGAGCCCTCACATGGTCTTGTTTACAGCTCCGGAGTGCACATAATAGATAAGCTACTGATTTCCACAAGACCCCCCGCACTTCCTGGGTGTGTGGGTGTGTGTGCTTGCGCCTGTGAATTAAGATTGTGCAATCTCCCTGCTAGCTGCATCAGGTTGCAAACTCATTTCACGTCTCTTAAATATTTCTCCAGCAAGCCTGATTTCATAAACCCCAAACCATTGTATTGCATGGGAGGTGTGCTGGTAACTAATAATTAACACCGAAAAGCCCATGACTCTATGACAAGATCAAACCTGATATTGAAACAGAGAGTAGAGAAATTTGCCTAAGGAAATATTGTGAAATAAAGCTGCAAATAGCCATGGATGCACATTGTTCCCTCTGTAGGATTTCTTTCCTTGACTGTAATTATAACCACCACTTACAGAGAACCTAGGATGTGGCAAGAACATTGTTAGGTCAGCATCATCTGATACTACTGGAGCCCTGAAAGATCAATACGGCTAAAGCACTTTCATAGAAGAAAGAAGACTAGAGAATTCAAGTAATGTGTCTTGTGTTGCCCTGACGGTAAATGATAGAGTGACGAATGGGGCCAGGACTGTTTGGTTCCAAAGACCAACTAGATTCTTTCCACAGATCTCTCTTTGGTTCCTTTTTTGACGTGATTTTGCATGGAATTTAATTGCAGATTACATAAAGTATAATAGAATTTATTACAACTGTCTCTAAATATTAAGGGGATTCAGGCTAAAGATGTTTGGAGGAGGATGATGGTGGGCTGAGAATCGCTTCATTAAACTCTTGAACATTTCAGAGAAGGTAGATCCGAGGCAGAAATGTCACATCGATCTCAGCTCATTCTTACTTGGAGGTGAAGAATGTGTGCACGACTGTGTGTGTGATCTGTCTTGGGCATAGCACTGAAGTGACTAAATCCATCATGAACAAGCATTGAACATCGAAAATCCAGACATAGATTTTCTCCAACCAACTTTGCATCAAAACTAGGCAACTTTTATTATCTCGAGATTGTGCTCACCAAATTTAGGCATTCTTTGTAACTCTGGGTTTTAAAAACTGTCACAATTCTTTCCCTCTGTTCTCTCTTTCCAGCTGCTGCTGCTGCTGCTGAATTATGCAGCCTGCTCTTCTGCATATCTCTCCTGCAGTGGCTGGCCTTATTTCTGCACAGTGCATGGATCAGAATCTGGGGGGATGCAGACAGCACGCACTGAAAGACCTAAATGAATGTGTAAGAATGACCACAAGGCACCAGACGTGGGTGTATTTATCCGTTTCTCTCATTACTAAGAGGTTTTAGTTCCAAAAAATATCCGGAAGGATTTAGTTTCGGGGAAGTGGGGAGGGAGAAGGAGTGGAATAAGATTTTTGAAATTTTAAACAATTTATTTGAGCTTCCAATGGATATATGGTGTTTTCTTTACATCAGAATCAGGATTTCTTAAGGCACGGTAAGGAAAGATTTTCATACCGGAGTCCCTAAGCATTAGAAAGTTATTGTGAAACTTATTCAGTATGTTAACGAGACATTTTATTGCAAAGAAAATCAGAAATTGGAAAGTTTAAATATTGTTATATAAAACAGCATTTAAGACTTTCTGTGGCCCAGAAATATGCCTGTCTTGGTGGTGTATACTCTGCTCCATTTGCAAGCTCATTTGCAAGCTCATTGTGTTGATGTGGTTCTGTCTGATGCTGTACTCCTTAAATAGGTCACGTAGTTTCATTGACGGAGGGTAAATGAAGCTCCTTCTCATTCTTCAGACACAGCAGAGGACAGTGGTAAAGATACTCAGTTCTGAGGTCAGACTGCTCTGGTTAAGATCCAAGCTCTGCCTCTATCAAATTTTGTGACCTTGGGCTAGTTAGTTAACCTCTCTGTGCCTCAGTTTCTTTATCTGGAAAATGAAGATGACATAACATTACCTATCTCATTGGGTTGTAATGAAAATGAAAGAATCATGATAAGTGTCTGGTACATAGTAAGAGATCAATAAATGTAACTCTTTTTGAAATTTATATATAGTAATATTCACCTCTTTTTGGTGTATAGTTCTATGAGTTTTATTACATGCATTTAATACATTTAGATTATCGTAACCACCAACACACCAACATAAGATACGGAATAATTTCTATACCCCAAAGAATTCCCTTATGCTGCCTCTTTGTCGTCAGACACTAGTGCTCCTCCCCACCCTGATCTGAGCTCCTGGCTACCACTGATGTGTTTTCTGTCCCTATAGTTTTGCATTTTCAGAACGTCATATAAGTGTGCCCTTACTGGATGTAATCTTTTGAGATGGGCATCTTTCACTTAGCACGATGCCTTTGTGGTACAACCTGATTTATATAGATCTTATCTGAAGACCTGACTTCATGGAAAAGGGATTAGATAAAGGTTGTTTTTTTAAAGGATCATTAAAGGGAAGAGAAAACTCAGACTAATATTATCCAAAAGAAGAGTTTGGCCAAGCAGAAGAAAGCAATTTTTCAGAGTTATCAAGATATCAAATAGGATGCATCTTCAAGAGGAAATTATTTCCTTGTCATAAAGGTGTAGAGACATAAGCTCACGGGCCACTTGGAAAGCAAGGTGTGGAAAAATCAAAGAGTGAAATATAAATTAACTCAGAGAAAAGTGTTGATAGTGGTGGTATGTGGTGTTTGGCAGGGGTGGGGGGACTTGGAGTGGGCAAAGTGTCGGAAGGTCACAAATAATCCCCAATAATCTGTAAAAGCTTTGCATCATGTGGGTGCAAGTTAACTGTTGTAGGGGACGGGAGGGACATGACCCAAATCATCTCCCTGGCTGAACTGCATAAGTGGGGAGGTTAGGCAGCAGCTATTAGAGAAGAGGGAAATGAGACCAAATCTTGACCAGGATTGGGAAATAGGGTGATGGGCGGCGATAGTAAGATTGAAGGATGGGAAGGTGCTGGGGGAGGCCAAGGAGACAGAGATGCCCCTGGTGGAGTTGGAGTTGAGGTCAGAGCGCTGTGTGTTTGATCCCAGAGGCAACAATTGTCATGATATTTTTTAAATTATCATGTATATTCTCCTAATTTACATGGGCACACACACACACACAGTGTTATGTGTGTAAATGTATGTTTTTAACTTGATCCATCTTTATTCTGCAAATCAGTTAACTTGCTCTTAAAAAGTTGGAAGTTGGTGCTGGCCCAATGGCATAGTGGTTAAGTTCATGCCCTCCACTTCAGCGGCCTGGGGTCCATGGGTTCAGGTCCTGGACGTGGACCTAGCACTGCTCATCCACCCATGCTGTGGCAGCATCCTACAAACAAAATAGAGGAAGATTGGCACAGATGTTAGCACAGTGACAATCTTCCTCAAGCAAAAAAAGAGGAAGTCTGGCAACAGATGTTAGCTCAGGGCCAATCTTCCTCACCAAAAAAAAAAAAAGAAAAGAAAAGAAAAGAAAAGAAAAGAAAGAAAGAAAGTTTACCATACCAGTTGAGATTTTTGAGGCATGTACTAGGGTAATTTAGAGGCTATTTGATTTAACCCTTGAGTCAATATCCTGTGGGAGAAATTATTTTTTCCATTTTATAGGTCAGGAAACTGAGGTTCTGAGAGGTGAAGTGACTTACCCAGAAAAGAGAGATGGTTAACGAAGGCAGAGCTGAATTTCTTCTCAGGAATGTCTGATTATCTTCAGTTGCCTTTGCTGGCCTTTTGCCTTTACTCTGCTTTCACATGGTGATGAGAAACACTGGATTTGGAGTCTTCTTTCTGCTTGAACATCAGTGATCCAATTTTAAATATGAGGGAAAACAAGATCTTATATTTTAAGATATATTCTATAATGACACATTCTCCTGATGTGTTTGCTGTTATTATTACTAATAGTGGTAACACTTTACACCCACATTTACTAACTGAACTGGGCAAAAAGTTTAGGAAAGGAAAGCTAAGCTATGGAAAGGTCTTAGAATCAGAGGACCTATGTTAAAACTTCAGTTCTGCTCTCTCAGCTTTGTGTTCTTTGGTGAATTCAAAATGATAACATCAACTGCCCAGGGCTATTATATGGTTTAAATGAGAAAACGTGTGGGCAAATGCCTAGTTATGCTTATCATATAGTGGGCATTTAAGAGGAGTTTGAGAGATTAGAAGAAAATATAATTAAGAAGGCTTTTTAATTTCAAGACAAGTATAAGAAGAAAGGACATGGCTTTATTTCCTTGGGTAGTCAATATGGGGCTCTGGTTTGGGTTGATGGTTTCAAAGTAGGATACACATGACTATTTTGTTTATATTCAACTCAATCTTATGCATATAAGTATAAATCTAGTTAGATCAACAGGGAATACATTGAATGAATTAAATTGAAGCACAGGATTAAATTGAAGTATGGATTCCTATGATGGTTCACATCTAAATACATACAGCCTTTATACCATTCTTCTCTCCTTTCAATTAGTCTCATCTTAAGACTAAGAAATCCCTCTGGAGACTACATTACTAAAAGTGAAACAAGCATAGCTGGGCTGAGAAGTTTTTTGCATCTGCTTTGTTTCACACATTTTTTTTTTTAACTTAAAGCTCTTCTTTCTGATCTGAGAGAAATGCAACTGTGAGCCGTCAGGAAATCTACGTTCCACTAGGATTCAGCCTTCAAGTAATTTACTGGCTGTGGCTGCGTTAGGCTGCTTCATTCCATTTTGAGACAGGCATCTTTCAACTTTTTAGCAGCACTTTTTCTGCTTTTCGCTTGAAATTCAGTGCGGTGCATTAAGTATATTTATTGAAAGTTTGCTCCGACTCGTGTCCCACACGCTGGGACTTGTTGACATAAGTGAGGAAGCCAGGCACACCAAGTGAGGACAGCACAAGTTGGGGAAGCCAGCTAGGAGTCAGCGCCTGGTTGGGCAGAAGAGAAGAGAAGCCGGCGGGAGTAAAACTGAGGATTGATGGTTATGAGAGCAGGGCGCTCAGCTGTAGGTAGCCGCAAAGTTGTCAAAGCAGGAGGAGGAGGGCAAACACTCCAAACTCTGCCAGAAGCTTGGCTGCTTCCCCAAGACCCAGCTGTGTGTCATCCTTCCTTGCTGGCTGGGTGTGTGCCCCTTCCATCTTTTTAAAGGCACGGATCACAGCTTCTGATACCAGAGAAGAGAAGAGAGTTTATATGAAGCTTACTTGTTGGAAGTATTTTTAAGGATGACTCTAAGCCCAACATCTATCCATTTGTTTACAACTGTAGCGGGGATTTTTTCTCTTCTACTCACAATGCCTCATTACACAGGTGAAGCCAAGTTGGGAGTTGCCCAGAGGCACGAAGTAATGAAGTCAGATTTTAGTCTGTCCCATGTATCCGTCAATTGACCACATAGAGTAAAGTTAATTGCAAAATTTTTAATTCCATTAATGATGCAGAGCTCCCCAAAGCTGAACAAGATCTTTTGCGTGTTTTTTAATTCCCTTCAGCATAGCTGGCAGGTTAATAATGCCCATTTGTCCTAAAAGTGGACATCTTTATCATAGAAATTACTGAAAAAGTCATGGCAAACATCTCCAGCATCTTTCTAATGAATTTGTTACTGCTTTTCACGGTATCCTAGGCATTATCAATATTTCTGTCTAAAAAATACTCTGTTTTATATCTTACAAGAATTTCTCAGCTACCTCTCAGCTACATTTGAATCTTACAAGAACCTCGTGGTATAGATGTTATTCTCTTCATTTTGCAGTGGAGGAGACAGGATCAGAGAAGTTAAGTGCCTTGTCCAAGAACACACAGCCAGTTAATAAATAAAACCAGATTCCGATTCTTTATACAACGACCCCAGAGTCTTTGCTCTCTCTTCTAGAGCACACAACTTTTGTACGGATGCTGACAAAATATTGGGTGATATAGATGATATACACTGAAATGAATCTCTGGTCCATGCTGTAATAATCTCTTGCTCTCTCCTTGTTTTTATCATTTCCTACCCTAGTTTGTTTAAAAACTCCATCTCTATTCACCAAGTATGAAACCATAATAATGTGGTACAGGCACAAAATTCAACAGTAAGAGGGAGCTGTTATCGAGAAGGTCAGAAACATACAAGAGTACGTGGAGAGATTTGTTATGTGTCAGGAGGTATCTTAAAACTGAGAAAGAAGAAAGAAAAAGAAAAAAATGATTGGCTTAACTATTTGGAAAATGATAAAATAAGATCCAAATTGACATTATAAGCCACACACCAAGATGAAGTCCAGACG